GCACAATGTCAGTGAGGGGGCTGGAGGGCGGGCGGGGAAGTGACAGCGACTTGTGGAGGGAGCTCCTTGATGCTGCATCTCACACACACAAAAAAAGAGTCAGGAAGGAAAGGAATGCACAGCCAGTTCTGTTCCCGCTCCACTTTCCCTCGCCTCAGACTTGCTGAACTGCACTCTGGGTTCAATTATGATTCACCACAGAGGCAGTTTGTGAACGCAAACCATTCTGAAAGAGGGCAGCCCAGTTATCCTCAGAGCAAGCAGCAGCTGCAGCATGACTGAAGCTAACTGGGAGAGACTGGGTAGGATGATGCAGTGAGTGCATGGCCAGATTGAGAGAGTGGGGACAGAGTGTAACAAGGCCAAAGAACATGTCCCAGAGTTACCTGCTCCCAAACAGTACAGAATATATCATCATCTCTTGTTTAGTTTACAGGCACAAAGGGCCATGTTAATGATCAGAGTTCAGACAGCAACCACTTGTCAGGATTTTTTTAAGAAAGATTCATTCATAGGATGTGGGGCTTGTTGGCTAATCAGGCATTTATTGCTCATCCCTAATTACCCTTGAAAAGGTGATAGTGAACCGCTGCAGTTCATGTGCTGTATGTTGACCCGCAAGGCTGTTAAGGAGAGAGTTTCAGAATTTTAACCCAGTGACACTGAAGGAGCAGTGAGCCGGGGTGGTGAGTGGCTTGGGAGGGGAGCCCACAGGGGCCAGTGTTCCCATGTGTCTGCCACCCTTGTCCTTCTAGATGGAGGTGATTATGGGTTTAGAAGGTGCTGTCTGAGGATCTTTGGTGAGTTTCATATGAACAAGGAACAAGAGTAGGTCTCTCGGCCCTTTGAGCCTGTTCCACCATTCAATCAGGTTGATCTGATCTTAGCTGCAACTCTAAATTCCTGCACAGCCGGAGACTTTTTCCCAGAGCGGAAATGACTATTGCGAGGTGGTATAATTTTAAGGTGATTGGAGGAAGGTATAGGGGAGTTGTCAGAGGTAGGATCTTTACACAGAGAGTGGTGGGTGCGTGGAATGCACTGCCAGCGGTGGTAGTAGAGTCAGATACATTAGGGACATTTAACTGACTCTTGGATAGGCACATGGATGATAGCAAAATGAAGGGTATGCAGGGTAGTTTGATCTTAGAGTAGGATAATAGGTCGGCACAACATCATGGGCCGAAGGGCCCGTACTGCTTGATGTACTCCCGATAATCTTTAATCTTTGTAATCAATAAAGTATCTACTCCGTCTTAGAACTATTCCAAGATTCTGCATCCACTGTTTTCCAGGGAAGGGAATTCCAAAGACTTAGCCCTCTGAGAGAAATGTTTATTCCTCATCTTTTTTTTTAAATGAGTGAGCCCTTATTTTTAAACTATGACCCCTACTTTGAGATTCTCCCACAAGAGGAAACGTCCTTTCTACATCCACCTGGTTGAGATCTTCTCTGTTTCAATTAAGTCACCTCTGACTCTTCTAAACTTGAGAGGAAACAGGCCAAGCCTGTCTAGCCTTTCCTGATGAGGCAATCTGCTTGTTCCAGGGATTAATCTAGTAAACCTTCTCTGAACTACTTCCACCACGTTAACCTCCTTTCATAAGTACAGCAAACAGTACTGTGTAGAGTACCCCAGATGTAGAATAACCAATGCCCTGTATATCTGAAGCATAATCTCTGCTATTCAGCTCCTTTCACAATAAAACAACTTTCTGTTAATTGCAGTGCTTCTTCTGGATGGTACACACAGCTGTTGCTGTGTGTCAGTGGTGGACGAGAAACCAATCAAGCAGCTGCTTCATCCTGGATGAGCTTCAATGTTGTTGAAGCTGCACTCATCCAGTCAAGTTGGGAATATTTCATCACACTTCTGACTTGTACCTTGTAGACTGATTAACTCCCTGAGTTATTTGGTTTAACACAGTAAAGCACAATACAAGTTATGACGCAGATTAGCAAATCAACTGATTCTGTGTGCACTTTTCAGGCACACAGACTAATCAACAAGGCAAAGTCACAACATTGTACGCACTTGACACATAGACTCCTTAAAGGCGAACTCTGTTCAAGAAAAAGTGCACTTTTATTCTTTCTTCATTCATGGGATGGGGGCGTCACTGGCCAGGCAGCATTTATTGCCCATCACTAATTGCCCAGAGGGCAGTTAAGAGTCAACTGCATTGCTGTGGGTCTGGAGTCACATATAGACCAGACCAGATAAGGATGGCAGTTTCCTTCCCTAAAGGGCATTAGTGAACCAGAAAGGTTTTTCCCAACAATTGGCAATGGATTCATGGTCACCATTAGACTCGTAATTCCAGTTATTTATTGAGTTCAAGTTCCACCATCTGCTGCGGTGGGATTCAAACCCAGGTCCCCAGCACATTATTTGGGTCTCTGGATTAACAGTCCAGTGATAATACCACTAGGCCATCACCTCCCCATATGTACAAGGTGAAGCATGATAGAGTGGTCAGGGGAAGGCTTGGTGGAGCAGTGAAGTGGATCGTACAGGAACTGAGGACTTTGCAGCAAGATCAGGTACAAATGGAGGTAATGGTGTCTATCCCTGGGAAATTCTGCAGTGATTTCCAGTTTGAGATGGCGGTTGTGTCTGTTTGACTGATTCCACAACTCCCTGTCCCCCTGAAGAGCATACATTTCCAGCACAAAAGGAGGCTGTTCACCCCATCCTCTCTCTGCTGGCCCTTTGCAGTCTGAAAACAGTCTCTGCTGTTTTTCACCATGTTGCTGAACCTCCAATATTTATCCAGTTCTTCCCCACCCTATCCCTTTAACCCTGCATTTTCCATGGCTAACCCACCTAATCTACACATCCCTGGACACTATGGGGCAATTTCGCATGGCCAATCCACCCTACCCTGCACATCTTTGGACCGTGGGAGGAAACCCACGCAGACACGGAGAGAATGTGCAAACTACACATAGACCGAGGATGAAATCAAACCCAGGTCCCTGGCGCTGCGAGGCAGCAGTGCTAACCACTGAGCCACCGTGAATAATCCAATCGGTAAATGACAAGCCAATTTATTTCCTTATCACAGTTGAACACTGCAATGATCGATGTGTTGAGTGGCCAAGGGTAACGATGTAGGGTCTGGAGCAGGGGTTTGTGCAGAGTTGTTGTTTTGACCTCAGTGTCCACAGTTCTGTCCGATCAGGATGGTGTCTTCATTGAGGTATTTGTAGGATGGCTGTGTGTGTGAGGGAGTGTGTGTGTATGGGAACGTGTAGGTGCAGGTGCGCATGTGGGTGTGGGTGTGTGTGTGTGGGAGGGAGTGTGGGTGTGTGTGGGGGTGTATTTGTATGTGTGGGTGTGGATATGTGTGGGAGTGTGTGTGGGTGTGGGTGTGGGTGGGAGCGTGTAGGTGTAGATGTAGATGCGTGTGTGGGGGTGGGAGTGTGTGTGTTGGTGTGGGAGTGTGTGT